GCCCTGACGTTTCTGCTGCTGCTCTGTCTCTTGCTGGTAAAGCAGTACCGGCAGCTCCCATGATATCGTGCCATGCATATGTAACATATTAATACTTGATTTTGCTGAGTTGCAAAGGTATCTTTCATAAAGTATGGTCCCCCAGGAAAAGAAGGCCTGTGCTTGAAATCTTGGTCAGAGCTGTGGCATTCCCCTTGCCTTTTCCCTCTGGTTCAGTCTTTTCTTCCAGGCGTGAGAAATAGGAGTAACCTGTGGTGTGTCCATTCTTCCTTATAGGAATTTCCTAAGTTTGCAGGAGACCTGAGAGTGGTTTTAAGAGAGTGATCATTTTAGTGAGGAAGTTGTCAGCTTTTTGGGAATGGGCAGTTGATGAAGGCCAGACCCAGTCCCTTGTCAGTGGTAGGACATTCCTGGAGCTTTGGGATAGAGGGAGGACTGCTCACTCTCTGGCACTATACAGAATCGTCCATACCAATTTGGGAGAAGGGGAACCCGGTAAAGGATGGGTAATAATAACCTAAGTCTTGAGTCATCACTCCTTTCAAGATTACTGTACACGGGGGAGGGGGTGGCATGGGGGAACCGGCTTTGAGAGTTCAGAGCTGAGTGTTTGTACCTGAGGGGAGGGGCCCCAGCAGATCTGGACCGACCCTTCCATACTCTTGGTCCCAGTTGGTCGTAACACCAAGGACTTTGCTCTGTGCTGCTTTGCCACTGCTGCTGTGTGCTCAGTGTCCTGCCTGCTATCCTCTGGAGCTCCCAGTCCTTTCCTGTCTTTGGCCATGTAGATTAAGTCCAGGCATCCTGTTCTTTCTTACCTGTGTTGTACCAGTGTTATTTTATGGCAAAGTCATATTGAATAGGGATGGTATGAAATGCTGCTGGTGGGCTGGCAAATCCAAAGGGATATGGCTTCAGTGCTGTCAGGAGCCCTTTGGCTCCAAATGTCTGACTGTCTTGAGGGAGAAACAAGTAGGTCCTATTAGTGGGTGTTTTCTGTAGTATTAACTTCTTTCCTTTATGGTATCTTGTATCCTGTTTTAAAAACTGAGTGATGGGGAACCACATTAGGGCCTGTGCCACATCCCAGCAAGGTTCGTGTAGTTCCAGTTACATGGACTCTGGGGTTGGGAGAGGGTTTGAAGTTTGGCTGAAATAGCTGCTCAAGTGGGGTTTGATTTCATTTTTACCAGTGGGCATCATAGGTGATTTAGGGGAAAGCACAGGATGGTAGTGTGATTTAAATTTGCAACAGCAGACATATTGAAGAGTTGAGTGTTCACACTGGAGATGAAGGTGGACATGGGTTGACTAGGAAATGGCCTAGGTCCATTGGAGTAAAGATAACCTGACAAATTGGCTGTGGGAGATTTGGTCACTGTCTTATAAATAAAGTAAATAGGACAGAGGCCAAGTTTTAGGGAGATGTCTTGGCCTCCTAGGGCTAAGTTTACTAAACAACGCTGAAGGTACAGTACCTTTCAGATGGGAAAAAGTGTACACTACAGTTGAAGAGCTGAACCTTACTAGGTTGGACGTTGATCAGTAACCTATTAGCCCTTTGCTGGGAAGCCTTTACCTTCCAGCTTCCCTGGGGTAGGGAAGGTCTCCCACATTATGCAATAATAAAATAAGCATCTGGGTCTTAGCAGCTGTCAGTTGCTCTTTCAACTCTAGGATCCATCTTTGGACCAGAAGCCTGGTCCGGGCCTAGGACGACCCTGGCCCTTGAGATGCCGGAGTTGATTGCACTCTCTCCTCACCTGCAGACTATGCACAGTGCCTGGGGCGGAAGGAGGAGAGGTGTTGCGGTTTGCCCTGCTGCCTCCCCAGCAGGAACAGTAGTCATAAATGCACTTTTCACACTAAAGTTTTCTTTATTAGGTCTCCTGTTAAGCCTAGACCCCTCCCTGGTAGATTGCAAACTCACGTCTGTGTGATCCCAAAGCCACTCCACTGCAAATGCCCGGCAGTGAAGATGGCCTCAAATTGGGTTCCTGTCTGCAGTGTGTGTGGCAGCAGCCCATGTGCCTTTACCCATTGTCAAACTTGCAAGCATTTATTTCTGTCTTTATGACTGTCATGGGGACTGAGGTTCTTCAGAGAGAGAGAGCTGATGACACAGTGGTTTTACACCCACCCCCTCGGACAGGGAGTTTGCACGTATTTGTGAGCTGTGAGTGGTTAGTACGTTGCTGGTATTGCTGAAGGCAGGGTTGATTCCTCACTTGCTTGATACTTGCATTCAAGAGAATCTAGATTGTGTTGGGGAAGAGACTATACTCATGGCTAACTTGAAGTCCTCAACAACCTTCCTAGTCACACAGGATCCCTGTAGCCAAAACAGTATATGTTCCAGCTGCAGAGAGCATACTGGTCTCAGCTTGCACAGCACCTTAGGAGAGGGAAGAATATATGGATAGGGAATGGGGTGGAGACAGGAGGATGGGAATGTTGTCATCCGGGTGGCTTTAGGGTCCTACAGAGTGGAGAAGGATGGCACTGGGGAGGTCTGGATGGATCTGATTTGTGTAGGAGTTCCCTGTAGATAAATTACTGATCCCCCAACTACTATCCCCAGTATGTAATGGCTGAATTAATATGTAATCAACTGCATTGTATCTAAAGCCTTAGAACTAGTCAGGTGCTCCCCCACCCAACACCATTTCTTACCCTCTAATCCTACCTGATCTTTAACAAAGCATTAATAATTCTAAGGATAATCTCTATTTTGTTGTGCTTTTTTGTAACTGTTTTAAATAAATCAATTTGTACTGTATATTTGTACTTTTGTGAGATCCTTTTTGCTGTTTTACCATTTTAAGTCTCTGTACTTGGCTACACACAGATTGTATTTTTATTGTTAATGCTCTTCTTATGGATACCTGCATTTAACTTGTGGACTATGTAAACACAATATCTATCAATATCTATATATCTATATATCTATCTATATAAACTACTAGCTTTTCTTTTTGGTGTTTGCGCCTTCTTCCTATCCCAGCCTTAAGTGGTGGCCATTGGGTGGGGGATAGAAACCCTTTGTGGGAGCACTTATAATGGAGCACAAATGGTACCCATCTTTGTGTGGTGAGCCTGGGGCAGATGGCGTGAGCTTGTCCTGAAGCATGAGCTTTCATCTGTTGGTACGGATTTGAGAGACCCAGAAGTCTATCTGTAGACTTAGATGCTAGCAGAATCAATTACAAGGATGTGTAGGTGTCTTCAACTGCTGGCCTTTCCCCTACTTCTTTTCTTTATTCAGGAACACTGCCAGAAATTGCTTGAATAGGTCAGCCCCACTCAGAGCTATTGCCTACTAGTTAGAAAGCTTGCCACTAATAATTGGCATTTATGGAACATTTATTATATTGCCACAAACTATCCTAAGTGGCTTATATATATGAACAATCATTTGTTAGTATTGGTATTTCCATTTTGTGGCTGGGGAAGCCAAGACAGAAGCTAAGTAACTTACCCAGAGTTACACAGCTAGTAAGTGGCAGTGCAGTATTGAACCTTAGATATCTAACTCCTGGGTTTGTATTAACTCAGAATTTGTTATGAAAATTAAGTAAGATAATCCACGTAGGGTGCCGAAAATAATCTTTAGCACATAGTGAGTGCTCACCCATTTTGAAGCATCCCAGATAGAACTTTAGCATGGAGCTCTGTGGGAGTAAGGCATTTGGATTAAGTACTTACTTTCTTTTAAATGTATTTTTTAGAACAAATCTTTCAGCATGCCTGGTAGGAATTAACCCTAGTTTGGGAGTCAGTTGACAGGATTAAACAGCACTGGACCTGCGGAGTTCAGAGAGGAGTCCAGGTTTCCCTGTTAAGATACTGGAAGAGGTCCACATTCCTGGCATAGTTATTTTTCTGGCTACAATTTAACTAGGCCACTTCCTTCTGGACCTCAAGATCTATAATAATCTAAACTGTACACAACCTTTGGTGCAGGCTAGGAAAGTTCTGTGCTTGTTCTGTACCATCAGAGAAACTTTTTAGAAATGACCTCAGCACGTGTCTCCTCCATGGTTTGGCAGCCATAGAAAGTGCCAGAGTAATCTTTTTTTTTGAGACAGAGTCTCACTTTGTTGCCCAGGCTAGAGTGAGTGCCGTGGCGTCAGCCTAGCTCACAGCAACCTCAAACTCCTGGGCTCAAACGATCCTCCTGCCTCAGCCTCCCAAGTAGCTGGGACTACAGGCATGCGCCACCATGCCCGGCTAATATATATATATATATTAGTTGGCCAATTAATTTCTATTTTTTATAGTAGAGATGGGGTCTCGCTCAGGCTGGTTTTGAACTCCTGACCTTGAGCAATCTGCCCGACTCGGCCTCCCAGAGTGCTAGGATTACAAGTGTGAGCCACCTCGCCCAGCCCAGAGTAATCATTTTGCTCTAGCCTTCACCACTATTGACTTGAGCTCTCTCACCACCTTAATACTGCAGTTTCCTCAGTGGGTTTTATTATCCTATCTTGGGTTTGGGGAACAAATGAAAACATGGATTAACTCTTCTCTCAAACATTGAGTTCCTTGGGCCTTAAAGTTGCAGCCATTGCTATGAACATATTCCTAAGTGAAGCTGACTTTTACATGAGATAGAATTTTAAATGTTCAATAAACAATATTGCTGGGAAAAGTCACCTGTACCTAGTTCAAAGTACTGCATAGTCTTTAGAAAATGCCAGTTAATGAGGAAGGGCCTCGACTACTTCTGAGTTTGGAAAAGGCAAGCTAGGTTTAAATAGCCCTTGTGGGAATGGATCCTCACAAAGTCAGCGTCAGTTCTTCCTTCAATGTCAGTTGTTCCTCATCAACTTGTAAAGACCCAAATAAGGGACCTCGGCTTGGATGGCCTAAGTTGAGGAGCACCCTCCCTCAGAAAAGGGCAAACACCAGAAGTCACTGCCTGAAAACTCATACCCAGGTCTCTCCTAGATCACGTCATTTGCTAGAATAAAATTGACAGAAAAGCAGGAAAGGGCCAGTAAGATAAAATTAATTTATTTGCCCTCACAACTTCATGGGCCACATTGGGGCCCCACAGTCCTATGAGCATGGCCTGCAGCGGTGGGCTGGGAAGTCCAGTTCTCTGGAGTACCTGCTCCCTGTCCAGAGCTGCCCAGGGCCAGGTTCCTCCTGACCCTGTCCGTCATCCTGCTCCCACATGCAAGGGGTGCATGGGTCCACCTGCCACACACCCGGGCCTGCCTGTGTCGGCAGGACAGGGCCTTATGGGTGGCGGCAGCACTGGTCCTTGTGGGCCAGGGTTGGTGGGCGGGCAGGGGTGCAGGCAGGAGGGTGTGGTTCAGTGCAGAGAACTGCTGTTCTGTTCTTCAAAGGCCATCTTGCCCAGAAGCTGGCTGTCCAACTCCACCCCACTAACAGGTAGCTGGAAGAAGTTCATTTCAGCTGCTAAGGCTGCCATGGCAGAAGGGTCCTGGCCAAACTGAGCTCGCAACATCATGTCCATTTTCTCCAGCCTCCTCTTGAGCCGCTTGGCCTCTCGCTCTCGGATGAGTCGGGCCTGCCGCTTCTCTGGGGTTTCGTTGGCCCGCTTCAGCCTCATGGCCTCCCGATCCCGCTGCAGCCTGCGCGCCCGCTGCTCATCTGTCTCCTGCATGCGCTGCAGGCGCTTGGCTTCACGGTCCCTCATACGCCTCACCTCCCGCTCCTCGGGGGTCTCATTGTCCCGCCGGCTCTTCTTGGCCGTGCGCTCTCGTTCCAGCCGCTGCAGCCGTACTTCCAAAGGCTCATTCTGGCGACGTAGGGCCCACTTGCGTACACTGGGGGTCTGGGCTTCTAGTAGCTTCCGGTAGGCGGCACAGTTGTTGCACACAAGCAGAATTCCAGCAGGGTACACTGGAGGACTGAAGGCAATGTCCTTCCCCTCCGCACTGGAAGGGCCCTCAGTGTGGGCTTGGGGTAGGGATTCCATATTAAGTACTTCAGGAAGTTTCTCACTGGAATGCAAAAATTTGAGATGGTTAGTGTTTTCTTCTAGCAAGGCACAGGTATGCAGCACCGGCTTACTCCTTTCCTATCAGGCCAGAGTTCACCACTAGAGGTCAGTTTGAATGCTTGGCAGACCTCTTCTACCTCTCCACCCCTTCCCCTTCCCCTTCTCCTTCTCCTTCTCCTTCTCCTATCTAGTCACCCTAGACACCTAGGGTGGCTACCAAGTCTTAAAGCCCACCTGAAGTTAACGACTGAGCCTACTGCCACAACTATATACAAGAAATGAGATGAGCCCTTACAGTGTGGAGTTTCCATTCAAGCTGGAAGGATGGTGTTAGGAAAAGCTGTGCAGGGCCAGTCCTGCTGTGGGAATGAAGGCTCCTGGAGGTGGAGACCTCCTTCAGCGAAGGTCCCCACCACTGACTCACCTCCTCCTCTCCTGGCACTGCCTGCGGTGCACGGGCAGACTCTGCACTGTATGCGAGGCAAACAGGATGAGGACACAATGTCCACATAGTTCCAGTCTTCCTAGGAAACAGTGGAGACTATGTCCTCATGCCAGGGTCCTCTCAGAACCCTGTAACCTCTTCGTGCTTCCTCATGAATGTCCTTGGACTTCCCTACATCTCCTCCTAGTCAAAAATATTATTCTGATGGGAAAAGAAATGGGAATTAATTTCCCTTTGGGGATATCTAACGAAAAAGGCATCTTTCTTTGCCTCTTACTTATATTTCCAAATATTCATGAGTCAGTTGACTAAACATCACCTATCTATTGCCTTCACTTTGACCTTGGAAAGCAGAACCCACACCCAGTAGTAATTTGCTCTCAGCACAAGGGTAGGGGCCGGGCTCACCTGTTAAAAGTGGCATGGCTGGTGAAACGGGCTCCACACACAGCACAGTTAGACCTCTGGTCCTCCGAGTGGATTAGGAGGTGGCGACCCAGTGACCCCGGGGAGCTAAGAGCCCGGCCACAGACAGGACACATGTAGCTCTTGGCACTCACCACTGCTGCAGTGTGCTGTAAAACAAAGCCTTGATCTGTCAGTCTTGCATTACTTCCAGGACAATTTGTACCCACTTAGAAACTACTTTCTGGGAAATGTCCCCTTTCCTCAGTCTGGGAACAAGACACTTGCAATTATTCCCTGTTTGGCCCCTGGAAAGTTCACAGTTCAGAAGGGCCTGGCCATTCAGACCATTGCTCAGATTTCATTAGCTTGAGCTCTGATGCATTCTGGAAGATGTGGCTGGCTCGAGGAACAGTGGGGCGCCCGAGCCCTCTTCAGAGCCTCAGGATTATTTCTTCCTGTCTCCCTAGTTCACTGTGCAGGTGTCAGAACGTGTTAAGGGAGTGATGAAGGCCAAATCTAGAAGCTGGCTGGGGTTACCGGTATGCAACAGGTATTTATACTCTGCCTGTCCTCAATCTTTTTAAGATAGTCTTCCAAATAAATACTTCTCACGAACCAAGTGTCTTTATGGGACAACCCAGGCTGGCATGTGTGCTAATGCCTTGTCAATGAGATCACAAGACACCGGTGCTCTGTGATTGGACCATGGTAAAAAGAACACAAAAGTCTGATTCGGCTCCTCTTGTTTATATTAACTTCATTGGTGTTTCAGAAACATTTATGTTCACTAATGTTTTTCTTTAAAACAAAGCCCTCATTATTAATAGACGTTAGTTCCTATTTCACTGTTTAAAATATCCATTAATAATGTTGAAAACATAATGATACTTAATTTTCACAGTGTGTCTGCCTGGGAACCCCGAATGTATTTATCCAACATATCTCACTTATTCTCTAGAAAGTTTACAGGACTGGAGTGGAATCTTAATGCAAGCAACAACCCAAGATTCCTTCAGGAGCCTGAAGCCAAGGCAGGACCTGGGCTGCAAACAAGCCGCCAGTGCACACAGCTCCCCACACCATACCTGGTACACGTGAGCAATCAGCTGCTCCCGACTCCCGCAGTCCAGCTGGCAGAGGGGACACTGGCAGAGTTCGAGCAAGGGGTCAGAATTCAGATTCTCTGGGATCTGCGATTCAATAGACCGGCAACTCATTAGGACTCTTACTAGTCTCTTCACTGTCCTCCTCTGCCTCTTAAATAGGGGATCCTGTTAAAAGGAGCCCAGTCTGCTATCACATGTCACATTCTTAGCTTCTCATTGTGGGACAAAGGACAAATAGTTGAAAGGGAACTAAATTTGTTCCCGTCTTCATTTTCTCCAGGGCTTCCAGCCATGAGGACACAGGATTGCCCCAGAGAGAGATGATCTGTTTTTTTCTCTTAAGGTAAACTCTGCAGAGAAAGGATTGGCTAGCTTCCTTCCTGCCATGCTCCTTGTGGGAATACTCAGGAAACAATGTGGTGAGAGGGTGGCACTGCAGGTAACACTTTGACTTGAATTTGTGAGCTCATTCAAGAGTATACACCTTGGGAGGTAAGCGCTCCACTTTGCAAAGGTGGCTATTCTGCCTGGAAGAAATGGGGACGGTGAGGAGGAAGGCTGTGTGTGGGTGCGGTGACACGTGGGTGGGAAAGGAAAGCTGGTGTGACAAGGACTGTGTGTGTGAGGTGTGAGTTCTGCTGCTGCAAAGGACACGGCCTTGTGCTCAGGCCCAGGAGACTGTCAGAGGCGAGACTGTTCACGGGGTGAGGAGCATCAGGGCAGGGCGTTCCCGGACTCAGGAGCCATCTGTCACTTGCCTCATGCTCTACCACTTCGTTCCCACCAACAGGCTGCTCTGCGCTTTCTAATTCTTTTTCCACTTTGACCACCCCTCCATCTTCCTCTGACGTGTGGGAAGAGACTTCATCCTGTGTGGTCTCCTCTTCATCACCCTCACTGTCACCTGAAACACACAAACTGGTCACTTGTTCTGATTTTGGCATGAATACGTCCTGAGCTTCTATCCCCCCTAGAGTTTGGAGCTATAATAGAAAAACATTTTCAGATCTCTCACAATATATTTGATATCAGTGCTTACTTGGGTACGTATCTATGTCAAGTGGAAACCAGCTATAGCTGTTATTTATTATGCCATATATGTACTAAAGAGAAAATGTGAGGCAAAACTGCATTGGAAAATGGTTATTGGGCCCTCTACATTTCATAAAAATGATCCTTCTTACGCATGGCTCTCAAATATCTCACACTTTAAATCACACCTCCCCAAGCACCTCACACCAAGCTCATTCTCACAGCACACCACCTCTGACTTACCAGCACTTCTGATTTTTTGACTAACTTTTCTCCCCCTGCAGAATTTTTCCATGGTGTCACTATACTATTTTACTCTGAGCCCAACTAATCTGTTTTCTCCCAACAAACCCCAAGGCACACTTACAGAAGCACCAGCAAATTTTTTTTTTATCCCTCTTATCAGTAAAAGAAGCAGGAGTAAATTAGTTTAAAATGATGTCATCTTACAGGAAAGAGTTGTTCATCACAGTGGAAAAATTAGCAAGCAATCAACCTCAGGCAGTCTGCAGTGGTATCCGACTCACTGTTCTTTCTCTACTAGTGATAGCATTCTAAGCTAAGTCAAGTCCATTGTTTCTGTAGGTTCTCTGGATTATCTGATGGGTAACTGAATGCATTAAGTAGAAGGAACAGGCCATTCTTCATTTTTAGGATGAAATGTAATTTCTTGTGACTGAAGTAAGAATTGAGTTTGTTTTAGTTTGCAGGGCAGGTTGGGGAGGTCTGCCTGTGGCTAGGAAATCTGCAAAGTTTGTGGCAGCTGATTTTTCTTCTCTATTACTTATAAAATAGGGGGAAAAAAGATGAAAAAAATAACAAGGGGATTTCTTCCTGAAAGGAAAAAAAAGTGCTAGTACCTTGAAGATCAGAAGAGGAAGCCAAACCTAGGGAAGCTGTCAGGCTCCAGCCCCTTCCCAACCCCACTTAGATCTTGGACTTCTGTGCCTGATGTGAGCGAGAGAGGAATACAGGGTAGAATGTCACCAGGCCACCTGCGTGAGACTAAGATTTCCTAGCTAACAGTGCTGCTTATCCTCTGTCTACTAGCCCTTGCATAACTTCTAAATCTACCAGTATGTGAGCAACACCCATTACATGTTTCCTTTCTTACTGGGTGAAACTGATTACATTCCTTTTCTTCAAGAGAAAGTCTAACCAAATCATCTGCTAGTGGTTATGTGTCTTTATTAGATACCCCAGTTGCATGGTGGACTAGATTTTGGCCCCGGAAAGATCTATGGTATGTATGCCTTATTCCCCAGCCCAGAACTGCTTTCATTTGAATCTGCCTCAGTAACAATGGATTGGCGCAGATTAGATCATCAGCTTCTTATTTGAAATACTTGTAAGCTTAATCTAATACAATGTATCAAACACATTTCTGTCACATATCAATAATCCAAATATATCTACTAGAAAGATTTAAAAAACAGGTCTGCTGTCTACAGAGATGATTCATCTGTTCTAGAATAGAAACCTATTAGACTTTTGTAGATGTTGCTATTCCTGTTACTCAAGAAAGTGGTGGCTCCTATAGGTTTTTGAGAACTTTTGGGGTTCATTTTTCTGTACCTGACAAATTAATTGCCAAATTTTTTTTTGGTGTTGATGTTGCTTAATTACTAGTTTGGGTGGAAACAAGTTCCAAGAAGGTTGCATTAACTCTCTTTTTGTTCCCACCCAGCCTCAAATGTGGAGAAAAATCAGAAATGTCACACTCTGAATTGACACTTATACTAACCAATATCAAATGGATGAGATCAGGAAAGTATGGCAGTCTTCCTGGGAAATAACACATCTCAAAACATATTTGTTCAGGCAGGTCATAAGACAGACAGTTCATGAGGCTCAACTTGTAACAGCCACTATCTTTTCTGTCTCTTAAGCACAGGGTTCTACTTAGGGTACTGGTGTGGGAAGACCCTGACTTTAGCATTTTATATGCTGCATAATCTCATTCGTTAGTGAATCTTCTGGTATAACATTAAAACTGGTCCCTCAAGCAAGAATTCATTAATGCCACCCTTTTGTTTTATTAATTACGAATAAACAGACCCTAGGAGACAGGGATTTTTTTTCTTTTCATTGGCCCTAACCCAGGGGCTGCTTGAACATTAATTTGTCCCTATCTATCACAAGCAACAAACCTATCTGTGTATGGCATTGCACCAAGTACTATAGTCCATGAATTAAAAAAACATAATGCTAAACCAGTCCTCTCTCTCTATCTAGATAAGCATATGCCCACATACTTTAGAACACCTTTGGGGACACTAAGGATCCACATATCTCCTTTTTTATGTCTTCCTCCCAACCCCCATGCACAATCCCCAGAGCACACACACTCTGATAATTCTTCTCCCATTGCCCTGAGTCATTACCAGAAGGTGCAGAACTCACTGCTACTGGAGTCCTGATCTCTTAGTTGTTGGATAGCTTGTCGCTGACTGCCAAGGTCTCCAGGAAAATCAGTTTTCATCATCGCCTGGCGGGCTTGCTCTTCTAGCCCAGCAAATACTTGATCCCCTGGTGGTCACAAGGAAAAATAGTCAGGCCACCAGCTGGGCAGCACATCCCCAGGCAAGCTGGTTGGAAGGTCAGACCATTCAAAGGTAGGAGACAGGCAGATACCCTGTGGTGGGGTCATTCATCTCCAAGTCAGCTTGCTGCCTCCAACAGCTTCTGGGCGTAGCTGCTTTTCCTGGGCAGTAAGCCAGATGCTCTAGAAAGCATCGCTTGCTTCTCTTAAACCCTCCTAGTCTTGACTTCTTTCAAAAGGTGATCAATTGCTACTTCACAAATTTAACTGCAGAATCTCAATTTCATTTACAACTTTCCATCAGGATTGGGGAGACAGAAGCAAGAGGCAAAGTGATGGAATGAAGACAGGGCAACAAATCTGGGCAAAATCTCTGCACTTTAACATAGCGTTACCGTCCTGACTCAGTGTCTAACTCTGACCACAAACAGCGCTTCAAATAGTCCTTCTAAATAACGATCTCTAATCCCATTTTTCATCCACTCTCCTTCCAAGACATGTTCTGGAAGCTCTTCCTTGATTTTCTTTCTGATGACAGACATCAGAATTAGCCATGAGTAAATCAACAACTGGTTGAACAATGGACTAGAAGAATGGATAATACCCGAATTTATTTTCTGTTGAAGAACAACCTTCCTGAAACACAATACTTTTCAACAAATAATATGTATCTAGTCTCCTTGGTCCAATATGGTCTTTTTTTTTTTTTTTTTTTGAACAACCTTCCTGAAACACAATACTTTTCAACAAATAATATGTATCTAGTCTCCTTGGTCCAATATGGTCTTTTTTTTTTTTTGTATGAAGTATCTAAAAGCCCTGGACCCATCCTTGATTTTGCATTTACTTCTGATGAACTCTGCCTAGAATCTCTATGGTTGTTGAAGAGTTAACACTTAAGTGTTCTTTTATTTCCAGGAGACTAGGCATAAGAAAAGAGAGTTAGGTTTCTTGAGTTTTCTATTATCTCAGTCAGAATGGGAAAGACAGTCCCCACTCACCAGTCAGCAAGAGGGAATAATAAAAAGCCCTAGTGAAATGTTTGCAAATAAATCAGGCCCTTTCTTACAGAAGAGAGACAGAAAAGTAAACATGCTCTGGTTCTGAGACAGGATACAAAGAGATGGGAGGAATGAACTAGTGAGCTGACTTCCACTACTAGTCTTTTGGGAGTGAAAGAACTGATATGGAATAGGCTTCATGTGATTCACTTAGTCATTCATTCAGCAAATATTCATTGAGCACTTACTGTATGCTAAGTACTAGACACTAATAATAGTTACTGTTTGACACTTGGAACTTCCAGGCTCTCTGTTAAATGCTTTATAGTTGTTACCTTAATTCTATGCAAAACTCTGTTAGTTATTACTATTTACATTTGGGGTTTTTATTGCCCATCTCCGACTCTATTATTTATTTGTTTATTTATTTATTTTTATGTATGTTGTCTTTTTTTTATTTCAGCATATTATGGGGGTACAAATGTTAAGGTTACGTATATTGACCATGCCCCTCCTCCCCTATTATTTATCTTTTACTGAGGAGAAAACTAAGGTCAGTGGTGGAATCAAGTACACAAACCCAGGTCTGTCCAACTCTATAAAGTCTGTATTTTTAAACTGTTTCCTCATAGAGATGTAAGTGGAAGGTTAGAAGGCTCATCAGAGTGGTTTTGCTGAAAACAAAGGGTGAGAATGGCTCTGATCCTAGTGTTAGTGTTATCTTCCTACCATGAGAAACTGATACATATAACTCAAATAACAAAATAATGTCCTCAGGGCCAGTAAATGACAAAAGGAAAAATGATATTTCTGGTACCATGTCATGAGCTACCATGCCTGGTTTAGAGCAACTAACATTATGGCTATTATGACTCATACTGTGGGTGGGAATGGAGGTGGTTCGTGTTAAAGTGTACTCCTAGCTACATAGCCCTCAAGAAAAGGAAACATAAGCTGCTTTAAGTCCGTCTTCACAATATCTAAGATGACACATTGGATATAAATTACTGCAAGAGAAAGCAGAAAATGAATTCTGTGTTACAGTACTTCCTCTTCCCTTTTTGCAGATGTAAAATATTTGATTCCTCCATGTTGGTTATGCTGCAACCGCAAGACCATGGCCAACTGGCATGGTTACTGAATTCTTCTGGGTAGGTACATGTTTTCAGACCTAGGGGCATAGGCAGATACGGTACTAAGGAACAAGTTATGTGCTAGCATAAATTATCAAGGGGTAGACCATTCTTTTCAGTGACACTTATGGTCTCTAAGGAAACCTAGCCACAAGCCAGCTAGGTTTATAACATACTAAGAATAAATATTTTTTTCCCTTTCTTAATAGGGAATCATCATTGGATTAGTAGAAAGACATTTCAAGATGAGCTAGTAATTCAGTTTAGTCTCCATCAACTTGAGTTCAAAATTTATTTTTGTCTATTGATGTTGTCTAAATATCTGGGCCTTCAAAGAACAGAGACGAGTCTGTTCAATGTGGTTTCCCTATCTAAGATTCTTGCTGGCAATCCCACCTAGGAGAACTGGGATAAATTAATTCTGTCATTCCTTTTTGGCAGTTTGGGAAGAAAAGCTGTGTTCTTATATTTTATTTTATTCCTGACTTGGAAAAAGACTGAGGTAAACTGTATTCCTCAGGGCTATTCCCTATTTTAAATATCACCATAAAGCAAAATACATAAAAACCATAAAGAAGTGATTTTAGCAGACCTCCTAGGAAAAGATATGTGAATGATCTTCTAGTAGTTATTATTTACCTAATCTCCAAATCCGATTGTTCAGAATTATCCTTTCATAATAAGGTAGTGAGACTTGCTAAAAGTATGCCATGTGAACTCAAGTGTAATGTGAGCCACAGAGATATTAATAATTAAGAAGTTATAGAATTGTTTTTAAAATGTAGAATTATTATTTCCTTCTATCTTGAGACTGTTGGAGTAGGTTAAAACAAATTCTCTGGTCCCTAGATATTAATGTAGAGTGGCTATCTTATTTAATATGGGTATTTATTTGTCTATTAGCAGTTGAGAAAGAATCATCTCAGCTTTACAATAAAAAGCAAGGTGCCCAGTCTTCTTTTTGTGGTATAGAAAATCATGAAAATACTGCTTGTGTGACTTGACTAAGGTTTATCAGACTAAATAAGAATAAGGCCATGCAAGCAAGTTTGAAGAACAGATGAGAAGACTGAGATCAAAATTATTAGAAAGGCAAAGATTTTATAATTCCTTTTCTTGGGTCTTTGGTGCAGTTAAATAAAAACAATTTCAAGCTGACTGCAAAGTAAAGCAGTTGAAACATACTCTCAGAGAGCAGATGTTGAATTCAGAAAAAATGGGAGTGAGAAGCTTAGGATTCCATTTCTAGCTGACAGTCTTTGTAACCCAAGGTGCTATCACTTGTTGGGAACACAGCCATTTACCTCACAAGGATGTTAACAGAATGAATGAAGACAAAACAAGTTGCGCTTTTTAGAAGAGAAAGGACTTCAAAGTTGTTTATTCCTCCTCTGTGAAAAGCTTTTAGTTAAAGCTGAAGGTTTTTAGTTGCTCAAGTATTTTGCAATCTGACAGCAGAAGTCTCTCAAGAAAATCTGATTTTCCTTTTCTTAGTGGTTTACTTGGTTCAAACAGACTCAATGAAAATGTGCAAGGGACTGTATTTTCAACCTCTCTACAAACAGTTGACAGAAATCTGTTCTCAGAAGAGACCGAGATGGGGAAGGAGGTAGGGGAGGAGGTCTAAAATAGAAACTCAGCCCGTCAGCAGTTTCTCTATGACTAACAACAATTCTGGGCTTTTATTCCAAAAGCTCTGCATTGAGTCTATTAATGAAGTGAAGTGGGCAAAACACAAGCGTCTGTCTAGATGTTTCTGACAAAAGGATCATACCAGTAATTTAGATAGAAAAACAGTCCTGAGGAAAACCAATAAGTGCCAAAGCAGCCTGCCCATTGGCTTCTACGGCGGATCTGACAATTGCTGCTGGGCTACAGGAGTGGGATTCTTAATATATCCTTTTAGGCGGGCCTTTAAGTTTCATGCCACACAATTATCCTCTTCTTCTTCCCAGAACGCAGCTCCAGTGAAGCTCAGCCATTACTCTGCTCAAGTGTTGATTGGCTTTGACATTTAAGCAGAGCTTCTGCAGACTTTCCTGCCTCCCAGACCTTGAGTCCATTCCATTTACTTTAAATAGATAAGCAGCATTAAATTCAATACATTTGGTTGGTTCCATTTCACTGCAAGGTGAGAGGAGACTCAAGCAGTCAGAAAACTAAAATTACCTATTTCTACTTGCCACTCTTGTGCTGGGCAAATGAATGAAAAGGTGACCTTTCAAAAAGGGTAGGGTCAGCTTCAGGCCCCAAATAATAAACAGATCTTCAGACACCAGCAAATCTCAGTGCCTTTTCTTTGGTCAAGTTTGTCATCACCTAAAAAGGCTTCACAGCTCTCTGCCCAGCTGCATCACTGAAAACAGGTCCTCCCTGACGGCCCGATATTTAATTGTAGCTGAACGTTTGTATTCACAGCCCCATGGCAAAGGCCCTCTTTTTTTTTTTTTTTTTTGAGACAGAGTCTCGCTTTGTTGCCCAGGCTAGAGTGAGTGCCGTGGCGTCAGCCTAGCTCACAGCAACCTCAAACTCCTGGCTCAAGCAATCCTTCTGCCTCAGCCTCCCAAGTAGCTGGGACTACAGGCATGCGCCACCATGCCCGGCTAATTTTTTCTATATATATATTAGTTGGCCAATTAATTTCTTTCTATTTATAGTAGAGATGGGGTCTCGCTCTTGCTCAGGCTGGTTTCGAACTCCTGACCTCGAGCAATCCGCCCGCCTCGGCCTCCCAGAGTGCTAGGATTACAGGCGTGAGCCACGGCGCCCGGCCTCAAAGGCCCTCTTAATGGCCACCACCGAGGGACCTGCAAAGTCCCACCCACCCTACCACAATACAGTGTTCACTCTCTTGACTCTGGTAACTGCATTTCTGCAACTGTGGATGTGTCATATTCTCCCCATCTCCATGGCCTGTCTGTCAGTCTGTTTTCCAACTCCAATGCCAGCTGGTCTCACCTTTGACTGAGTATGGTGGAAGGAGATGCAGCTGATGGATATACGCTATGTGATCAGGCACAGCCTTTACTACAATGATGCCATCACCCCACCGGCTGCTTCCCTGAAATCTAACCAGTCGCTTTGGACAGGTGGCTTTCATAAGCGAACACTCAACTCCTATAATTGCCTTATTTGTGAACCCATCTTCTCTACCAAGAGTACCTTTCCTGCCCTGCCTTCTTGGGGTCACATTTGTGTCTTTTATCAAACACTCATCTTCAACCAGAGAGGAGAAAACAATCCGCCTGAACGCCTGTGTTGGGTGACCTATGCTAGAGATACATTTTATCTCCCTTGACAATGTTCACTTCAAGCCCACTGCATTTTGCTGTTTTAGCAGCAATTTCTCAATCCTTCCTAAACCACTCACCTTTACATAAAGTAGCCATGCACATCCACCTGTTCCAGCATACACTTCTAGAAGCATCTAACTGGTTCCATCTTACCCAACCTTTCCAGGACTTAAACAGAAGAATGAATTGTATAGGGAGGTTTGCTACCCTAAAATAATCTATAAGATGTCAAAACCCTCTTAAATGTTTTGCTCATATTACTTTCTCTCCTACTCTTGAAATTACCCAATAAGATAAGATGAAGTATATAGTGCCTCGCTGATAGTATATTTTTAATGAATTTTAGTTTTCTTGTCTTAACTCTTTGACTCATCTATCCTCTCAAATGTAAGTTTTTTGCCTTTAAAAAACCCTTTCCTATGTTACACCTCTGAATTCTCTTAAAATGTTGTTGCACTTTACTCGATCAGTCCTCCATAAGAATAGGAAGCTATTTGTTTTTTATGAACATTTGTGCAAGAATGCTTAACTCCTCAGAGCATAGGAAAATGGCTAATTGGTCTCAAACTCTTGGTCTTAAGCGATCCTCCTGCCCTGGCCTCCCAATGTGCTGGGATTATAGGCATAAGCCATCACACCCAGCCTTACAGTGTAATTACTAAAATAATATATACATATGAAACTGTTGAGAAACAATGCAAGGCAACAGTGCACACCTGGTCTTCTAGTTTCTAGTCTCTCCCTCATGTGATCCATTCCACACACTGCTGTGTAGGACCTAAACACTGCATTCTAAATGTCACTCCACTCTCTCTGCTTACAAATCTTCAGTAGTTCCCTATAGGCTGCAGAATGAAGTTTGAACTTGGCCTGCATTCAGGCTTCCACAATGTAGAGTTAAATATCTCCAACCTATGACTTCTGAACAAATGAAACTTCTGCTTCATATAAAGGCTCCTCATACTCTGAACATACGTGCATTATCTCTTTGCTCATATCACTTTCCCTTCCTGATTTTCTCTCTTCCTTGCTCTTTTTGTTTCAAATCCACTTTCTACTTTCTAAGGCTCAGTTCAAGTGCATGGTCCACTAAGGCCTCTTCCATCAGGCATTCCTCTTGCCACCTTAGTCCACGGAGATTTCTTAATTTCCCTCCTCTTAACTTCTGTAGTACACAAAATCTGCAGCATCCCTATCTGGTACTTAGCATATACTATCTTGTATTTATATATGTGTGTATATATAAATATATATATATAAAATATATATATGAGGCTACATTACAGTCTTATATATCTTATATTGTTTTACAGCACTGATAACCTTGTGTTTTACAGCACAAGGATTTGCACAGAGGAGGTATCCTCTGTTTGTTAATGTGAATGTTAAGGATAAAGTGCATACATAGCTAAGAGAGGTTTCTAACACCTCCTCCAGCAACCAGACATACTTTATTTTATTTTTTTGAGACAGAGTCTTTCTCTGCCATCTGGGCTAGAGCACAGTGGCACAATCATAGTTCACTGCAACCTCAAAATCCAGGGCTCAAGCAATCCTTCTGGCTCAGCCTCCTGAGTAGCTGAGACTACAGGTATGCACCACCACACCTGGCTAATTTTTCTACCTTTTATAGATACAAGGTCTTGCTATGTTGTCCAGGCTGGTCTTGAACTCCTGGGCTCAAGTGATCCTCATGCCTTGGCCTGCCAAAGTGCTGAGATTACAGGTATGAGCCACTGCACCCGGCCCAGATACACTTTAAATCCATCATATCTGACAGCAATAACACTTTCTTCTTCACAAAACTAGTATGAGTCTCTCACTCTAAATTCAGGTTATTCTTCCATTCCAACCCTAACATTCCCAGCTTCCAGAAAACAAAGCCCAATACTCACAGTGAACTTTGTTTGGATTTGTCTGTTTCCGACGGGACATGTTTCCCAGATCTGAGAGCTCTGGCCTTTCCCAGTTTCACGACTGGATATGTTACTACCTCCTTGCAAGGTGCTAACCTATAATAAAAAAAGAGTATGGTTAGCACATGCCATTTTTCCTAGAAATTATACAAAATTAAAAGATAAAAAGACTTTAAACATAGCTCCTGAGCATATAAAACTCACCAGTTATAAATCATAGAAAGAAAGAAAGAAAGAAAGAAAGAAAGAAAGAAAGAAAGAAAGAAAGAAAGAAGAACTCTCTAGAATAATGTCCAGATACTGAAAAATTTAAGAGGGAACTCCTTCAGAGGATTTAGAGAACAACACTCTAAATCCATCTTTGGAATCCAGAATACTGGTAAGTGATCATGAGCAAGGTCACAGGGTAGAAAAGAAAGCAAAACTCAGGCAACCAGGGTTAGAAGTACTGTGGGCTCCAAGGGATAACCTCATGAACTATAAAAGGAAGCCAAAGAGGGTGGTGGTTTACACCACATGCCCACTGGAAGTCAAGCCCTGCAGTCTGCACCAATGGGAGCCTCCAGATGGTTTTTTAAGAAGTTACCTTGCCCAGAGGTAACAAAGGTGTCACATCCCTGTGAGACAGGAAACGTCTCAAAACTCTTAAGCATCTGTACATGAAAACAGCATGAGAAATAAAGGCCTTTTTCTAGTGATATGCAGACACAGTGCTGGGCAGTGTGGATGACAGGGCACTAAAGCAAATCAAACCTATAATGGCGAAGATGAGCTCTCACCAGAAGAGCTAGATGCCACCCACATCATTGAATACTAATGTAGCACCACAGTGTGGAACACCAAGCTGGCCCTGCTCACATGTTCCACAGAGGTGGTCAAAGTTAATAACTTTAGAGCCTCTTCTCAATCCAACCTCTGTGTAGCAAAGAGACCAGTGGGAGGAATAAAAAGAAAAGCTCCCCGAACAAGAATTGCTGCAGAGACATGCATCTCCCCCCTACTCAGCTCCCCATATAGAAGGGGACAGATGCTTAAGCCTGGAGATCCCTGGTAACCACAAGAAAGAGTGTCTCAGCCATGAGCATTGTTAGAGAATCTGAAATGGGTTAGTAGCAGAAGCTGTGACATTCCCTTTGAAAGACAGAGGAATAAACAGATACAGAATAAAAAGAGATGGATTCCCTTTCCTACCAAAGATAGGAATACGGATCTGGTCACTAAGTTTTCTTTCAGTTCCTGCCTTCTCAAATTGTACTTACATTGAATAACCAAATATAAAATTATAGTTTATTGCCTTGAGAGGAGTTATAAGACACGACAGTACTAGCTGTACTTTGCACTCCAGTTAACGAAGACTCACCTCCTCTTATGCCAACTAACTCCTCTATGTAGCTAGAAAGGACCTCAACCTGTAATCAGATCCTGCCTCCCCTTACCAAAAGAAGAAAGAAACCGCAAATGGCAAAGACAGGCCTCCACAGGAAGTGGCAAAGGAAGCAGCTTTCAGGCAGTCTTCTATCATATCTGCATATCAAACACAGTTCTTTTTTAGACTTTTAATTAAAAACAAACAAAAACTCCAAATGTATACAATAAAAATAAATTATAACTATTTAGAGGGCAATATACTTAGCGCTAATGCCAAAGGTATATGTTTTCTGTTCTAAGTTTTATTTGTGTATATCATTTCTTTCTAATCAAGTAGTTATTTTATTAATGGAAGCAATGAATGAATATCACACTCTGGGTCTTTTTCTATATGCCTGTGGAATTACAACATAGAAAGCTGAATGAAATGCACGTTGTCTATTAACTTTTCTAAAATACACCTCTCTGTTGTATAAAAGAAATAGAATTTTGACTAATCTTTACATTTTCTCCCATTAACATCAGAAATTGAAATTGTCAGATAAAGGTGATATGGTCCATTTTGAAAGAAGGCCAAATAATTTGAAATCAGGCTCTATTCAGATCATCTTGGTGAGATGACATTTATACTACAGCTACAAGTCTGAAGACAGAGAAGAGCATGTGCATATTTAAATCACAGTGTCCCCCGCATCGCCTAAACCTCCTAGTGGACAAATGGGGAACTGACCAGATGGTACCCAACGGGACTTCACACACCTGAGGGATCAAGGGAAAAATAAGCAAATACCCTCCCCTCGCTCAAAACAAAACAACAACAACAAAAACACTCACATAAAGGGCCCAAAGGGTCACGGGCTCTTGAAAGCATATAAATAAATGGCACTGAAAGGACACTCTTGACCACAAAGCAAGATCTCCAAGCCTGGACAACTGTCTTATAGGCAGTAAAAGCTAATAAAACCCATAGACATATTGTCATAAAGGTCACTCATTCCGTTTTACTTTTAGCACGGCCTCAGTTTCCAAGCCCGAATGTGAAACCAAACTAAAAATGTGAATGGCAGAGCTGCCTGATCATCATCACCCCAAAGAAAAATGGGATGAGGAGATTCAGGTCTCAAGGGATTCTATTTAAAAAGTAAGACAGCTCTGTCCGTCTCGAGAGCGAGGCTAAGAGTCCTTGGGAGGGTGCAAGGCCTCCCGCGAACACTGCCTCCGTTCTCCCACAGGTGTTAGGTTGCAGCTTCCAGGGCACACCACAGACTTCAGCAAGAAAAAAAAAACAAAAAAAAAAAAACGGGTGAAATCCCAGCTTTAAGAAAGAGGGTGCGTTCCCACCTCCAGCTCTGGTGCAGTTCCCACGGAGCAAAGTAAACTCGCCTGAATCCAAGTGATTTGTATCTGCCAGAAAGGAGAGGACAAGAGAGCCGGTCACTCAGCCGCCTCGCCGCTCAGCCCGTGTCCCCTCAGGTTGGTCTGCGTGTCAGGAGCCGAGACGTTCCCTCGGCTTCTCCAAGCACGAGCCCAGGTAAATTCCCAGGAATTACCAGACAAGGGCCAGGGGTCTTCCGAGGCGGCTCACACAAGCCCTTAGACAACACGGCCTCCTCCGAAATCTAAATCTAGAAGCTTTCCTGCGAGACCGAGTCGCTGGGACCGGTACCCCCGTCCGCACTCCCACGCCCATCCTCCCCTCCCCCGCGCCAGCCCAGCCTGTCAGACGCCCGGGCCGTCCCGGCTGCGCCCGGCCCGAGCCCGACGAGGCCGGTGCCCGCGGCCCGGGGCCCACGCGGGGACGGCGGCGGCGGCGCAAACGGGGACCACAGGAGGAACGGCCGGCTGGGAAGCCCGGGGGCGCGGGGCTGGACCGCAGGGAGCGGGCGAGCCCGGCCGCCCCCGCCCCCCAGGCCGGAGCTGGACCCCGGCCTCCTCCCCACACACAGACAGACAAAAGGAGCGGCAGCCGGCGCCCCGCAGCGGGGCGAGGAGCCCCCGCATCCTCAGCCTGGCCCCGCAGGAAGGACTCGGGGGTCTTTTTACCCGGCGCCTCGGCTCCGCTGCGCTCCGGGTCCCTGGGCCCCGCCTCCGGACAGACGGACCGCCGGACAATGGGCCCCGGGCCGCAGCTCAGGCCGGCCGGGCCGGGGCTCTCCAGGACTGGGCCCCGGCGGGCGGAGGGCGGCTCCAGGCCGAGCCGGCGGCGGGGAGCCGAGGGGCGGCGCTGCAGACGGACAAAGCCAGCGGCAGACAGACAGACGGAGGGGGAAAAAGATGGCGACGCGGGCGGCGGGAGCGCGCTGCTCGTGCACTCGCAGCGAGCGGGGCGCGTGCACGAGCCTCGCCTCTCCCCCTCCCACCTTCCCCAGCCGGGCCCCCCTCCCCGCTCCCCAGGCGCGCGCCTGGCGCTGTGGGCGGGGCTTGAGGGAGGGGGGTCCTGGGAGGCGGGGCTTAAGGGAGCATCCAATCACGGGCGTTCGCGACGGGCCGCGCCAGCATCTCGGGGCCCCCAGACCACCAGCCTCGCACCCTCCTCGATCTTTCTCGGGCCCTCTCAGCCCCTCAGCTCCCCCAAGCCGTCCTGGACACGTAAACTCCACCCCGGCCATCAGCCCTGATCCTGGTTTCCTACCCCACCACCGGGTTCAGCCACAAAACCCACATCCCCCAACCACAGGTCCACCGCAGGCTCCCCTGGCCTCAGCCCAGCTCAGTCCCGCTCCCCGCCCCCGCCGCCCACCCTCTTCTCTTCATGCCCCCGCGCCCCACGGTTTCGTGCTCCCGAGCCTTTAACGTGACCCAGACAGGGGCCCGCGGGCCTTTGTGGGAGGGGCTACGTTCAGCTGTCAGAACCTCAGAGGGGGAAGATCTTGAGATTTCTTTTGGACATCTAATTCTCTAACATGATTCTCACTAATCAAGAATAGTAAACAAAGCGAGACTCTGTATCAAAAAAAAAAAAAATAGTAGCTGTAGACCCCGGGGCAGGGAACGTTGTGGCACTGTTGCCACTTAAAAGGCATCTGGGACAACTGAGAGCGGTTGGACTCACTTCTAATAAAACACCTCCTCCTCGGCATCGCCCCCGCTCTCTACTATTTCCCCCTTGCCTGCCTTCCTCTCATTCTGTCTTCTTGTAGAATGCTTAAGCCAGTCTCTGACGTCGCCTACTTGAAGAAGTACGGAATGCAGCGGGAAGAAGATGAGATCTGGTAATAGAACATCCAGCTTTGAGTCCCAGCTCTGCCACAGACCAGCCTGTTGACTTCGGGCAGGTCACCTCCCTGTTCTGAGCCTCTGTTTCCTAACATGTAAAATGGATAATGATGTCATAATTCCAGGCCCCTTCTCTCATAGGGTTGTTATGCCAGTTAAGTAAAATGAATTTCTGAAAACATTATGCAAATATTTCTTATGATTACTGGCCCGACAAAGGCAGAGCTAGTGAGGATGCTGGCTCTTGCAGATAGAGTGACGAGTCTTGGTATTTGCATAAAGCATTCTTGCAAATTGTCCTTCCCCAAAATCTTTAATAAGATGATGTCATTGTCTGCATCTCGTGTTTAATATGACAGAACGGCTGTATTGAAGGATCTTGGTCCTTCACAATTCTGTGATAAATAGCCCATTCATTCATTTTAACTGGTATATTTAGATAGGAATTATTATTATTTAACTTCAGTCTGGGAAACATTTTAATTCATTAAAAAATTTAATCTCTAAGTAGCCAGAAAATGCCACATTCTCGTCCAACCCATAAGTTTTTACACTGTTTTATGTTTTATGTTTTATGCAAGATGGAATAAACACTGGCTTTTATATTTAACAGCAATTCTTGATCATTTTAGACTGAGGGATACAAATATGGCTTTGTTATGTCACTTTAGAGTTAGCTGACATTTTCAACAGGGAAGTAGCTTACAGGTAACGTTAGCCTCCAGTGAAATTTCTTGGACTCATCGTTAAGTTACTGTTTAAAGTTGGACAGCTTGTTCTGTCTCCTTGAGTTGCAAATAAAATGAGATCATAATAATGCTATTCCTTCTTTTTTTAAATACCATTATACAAATGAGTAATAAGGCTGTTCTTATAACCTTCCTTTGCTCTAAAATGTCTCCGAGACCTGTAGTCCCAGTTACTCAGGAGGCTGAAGCAGGAGGATTGCTTGAGGTCAGGAGTTCAAGTGCGATGTAGAAAGAACCCATCTCTTTAAAAAAAAAAAAAAGAATTATTTTCCTCTGCTCTCACCTAAACTTGTCTAGATCTAGAAGACTTTTTAATTATTCATCATTTCTTTCAGCTTCCCTTTTATTTCTAGTTTCCCAATCTGTTCACAGAGTTATGCCATTATTTTGCCACTTCAACTATATTAACCTTCCCCTTGAAATATCTTTGTAATCCATTTTATATTTATTAGCTCCTACAATGACCTTGCTAGGGCTTTCCATTCCAAAAGTAATAGTATGAAAATTTTAAGAACCTCATACTTAAATATTATGAAGGTATAATTCACATACCATGAAACTCACACTTTTAACATGTACAATTCAATTGTTTTTTGGTATATTCACAAGGTTGTACAACATCACCACTAATTCCAGAACATTTTCATCACTCTCTCCCAAAATCCCATACCATTAGCAGTAACTCCCCATTCTTCTTCCCCCCAGCTCCTGGCAACCACTAATCTTATTTTCTGTCTCTATGGATTTGCCTATTCTGGACATTTCACATAAAAATGAGATCATACAATACAGGACCTTTCATGTCTGGCTTCTTTCACTTAGCATAATGTTCTCCTGGTTCATTCACGTTGTAGCATGTATCAGTATGTCATTCCTTTGTATGGCCAAATTATTTTCAGTTGAATGGACAGACCACTTTTATTTATCCATTCATTAGTTGATGAATATTTGGCTTGGTTTCCCTTTTTGGCGATTATGAATAATGCCACTATGAACATTTGTGTACAGTTTTTGTGTAAATATGTTTTTAATCCTCTTGAATATATATACATGTACTTAAGAGTAGAAATGCTGGGTCATATGGTAACTCTGTGTTCAACTTTTTGAGGAACTGCTCAACTGTTTTTCAAAGTGGCTGCACCATATTATATACCAACCAGCAATGTATGATAGTTCCAATTTTTCTACATCCTAGCCAACATTTGTTATTGTCTCTCTCTCCCTCTCTCTTTTTTTTTTCTTTTAGAGACAGAGTCTTGCTCTATTGCCTGGGTAAAGTGCAGTGGCATGAACCTAGTTCACTGCAACCTCAAACTCCTTTGCTCAAGTGATCCTCCTGCCTCAGCCTCCTAAGTAGCTGAGACTACAGGTGCATGCCACCATGCCCAGCTAATTTTTCTATTTTTTGTAGAAATGGGGTCTTGCTGTTGCTCAAGCTTATTTCCAACTCTGGGTCTCAAGCAATCCTCCAACCTCAGCCTCCCAGAGTGCTAGGATTACAGGCGTGAGGCACTGAGCCCGGCCTTTTTAAATACTCTTTAATAATTTAAAAAACCATTCTTATCTGGAGGATGTTTAGAAAAATACATCTGACTGGTTTTGGCTTGCAGGTCTGTTACGGACTCTTACTCTGTTAATATTTTTTTTTTTTTCAGACAGAGTCTCACTTTGTTGCCTAGGCTAGAGTGAGTGCCGTGGCGTCAGCCTAGCTCATAGCAACCTCAAACTCCTGGGCTCAAGCAATCCTTCTGCCTCAGCCTCCCAAGTAGCTGGGACTACAGGCATGCGCCACCCATGCCAGCTAATTTTTTCTCTATATATTAGTTGGCCAATTAATTTCTTTCTATTTATAGTAGAGACAGGGTCTCGCTCTTGCTCAGGCTGGTTTCGAACTCCTGACCTCGAGCAATCCGCCCGCCTTGGCCTCCCAGAGAGCTAGGATTACAGGTGTGAGCCACCGCACCCGCCTCTGTTAATATTTGATCCAAACACTATATCAGGTTTTAGTTACAGCCACTAGTAATAATCCATTTACATACAAAAAGAGTATCTGTTTAGGTACCAAAGAAATGTTACATGTTAATTTTGCTCCTAACAGTGAAACAGGATTTTCAAGTGAAACAAAGTGTGTCAGTTTTTTTTATTTTTTATTATGTTTAGCTTCTGAATGAAACTGGTCTGTTCAGCGAAGGACAGAAATGCTGTTTTGAATAACAAGCTGATTGTGGTACAATTCACAGTTGATATATTATGGGATCTAAATAATTAGATGAGTTTTGGTAAAACCCAGGACACAGGTGATTGTTGAATCCAAGCAACTCCTGAAAGCAATTTTTCTAAACAAATCATATCACTTTTAGTTAGATAGGGCTCAATGACACTTTTAGTTCATCCTTACTTTCATGAACACTGCAATAATGTCAAGAATCCCAGATGTCATCTAAACACACTGTGGTACAGAGGGCTTGGGGAAATAGAAACTCTCATACATTGGTGGTAGTGCTGTACATTAACAATACTTCCTCTTTGAAGGGTGATTTGGCAATATCTATTAAAAATAAAAATGCACCTACCCTTTGACCTAGTTCTGCTTCTGGAAATTTACTCAGTAAGTACAATTCATGCAGGCAAGTATCTAATCATTGCAGCATTGTTCACAGAAGCAAAACATTGGAAATAACCTAAATGCCTGTCAACAGAGCACTGCTTAAAAAATTATGGTATACATATACAATGGAATATTATGTAGTCCTTTAAAAGAAAGAGAGTTATAGATAATTACTGATAGGAGACAATCTCCAAGATATATATCTTAAAGCAAGTTACAGTACCATATGTATAGTATGCTACCATGTGTATAAAAAAAGACATACATATGGTTTTACATGCAGATAATATCACTGGAGGAATATTGACAGCATTAAACATTATCTGTCACTGTTCTAAGATCTTTTCATAAATTAACACATTTAATCCTCACTTTATTAAGGTAGCTGATATTATTCTCATTTTATAGATGAGGAAACCAAGTCACAGAGATTAATTTGCACAAAGGCACAAGAATCTGATAGCAATGGTTATTGCTGGAGAGAGTGGCTGAAAGAGTAAGGGTCAGATGAGGAACGCTTATTTTCACTGTATATCTTTTTCAGCTGTGTATTTTGTTTGCCTTGTCTGTGCATTAAATAATTTTATTTTTTTATTTTATTTTTTTTTGAGACAGAGTCTCGCTTTGTTGCCCAGGCTAGAGTGAGTGCTGTGGAGTCAGCCTAGTTCACAGCAACCTCAAACTCTTGGGCTCAAGCAATCCTACTGCCTCAGCCTCCGGAGTAGCTGGGACTACAGGCATGCGCCACCATGCCTGGCTAATTTTTTCTATATATATATTAGTTGGCCAATTAATTTTTTCTATTTATAGTAGAGATGGGGTCTCGCTCTTGCTCAGGCTGGTTTCGAACTCCTGACCTCGAGCAATCTGCCCGCCTCGGCCTCCCAGAGAGCTAGGATTACAAGCGTGAGCCACCGCGCCCGGCCTCTAGAACTTTTTAATCTCCTCAAATGGAAACTCTGAACCCATTAAACAACAATTTCTGGCCATTGTGGTGGCTCATGCTTGTAATTCTACCACTTTAGGAGGGCAAGACAGGAGGCTCGCTTGAACCCAGGAGTTTGAGAGCAGCCTGAGCAACTCAGTGAGACCCTATCTCTCCCCCAAAATAGAAAAATTAGCTGGGTGTGGTGGCACATGCCTCTAGTCCCAGCTACTTAGGAGGCTAAGTCAGGAGGATTGCTCGAGCCCAGGAATTTGAGGTTGCAGTGAGATATGATGAGCCCACTGCGCTCTAGACTGGGCAACAGAGGTAGATCCTCTCTCTTAAAAAAAAAAAACAAAAAACCCCACAAAACACAATTTCTCATTCTCCCCTCCCCCTAGTCCTTGGCAACCACCATTCTACTTTTTGTCTCTATGAATCTGAAGTTGACTACTCTAGGTACTTCACAGAAATGGAATCATACAGTATTTGTCCTTTTGTGGCGGGTTTATTGCACTTAACATGATGTCTGTTAAGATTCATCCGTGTTGTAGCATGTGTCAGAATTAAGGCTAACATTCCATTGTCTGTATATACCATATTTTGTTATGCAAGCATCCCTTGATGGACACTTTGGTTGCTTCCACCTGTTGGCTGTTGGCTATGAACATTTTGAAAAGACACTTAAATGTACAACAGTAGCCATCATCTGATTCAACAATTAGGATTTTTGCCATTTTACCCCCACATAGAAGATGAATTTCTTAAAATTACAAAAAGAGAGAACATTTTCTTACAAAATTTCAACGCTATTTTTAGGCTTATCAAAATAACAACTCTTAGGTTGTTTTGTCTCATCTAATACCTTGTCCATAATATAATAATTACCCCTGATTGTCTCACAAACGTCTTTTTAGTTTGTTTGAAAGAATATCTAAATAAGGTACACACACTATATTTGGTTGCTGTGTCTGTAGGGCTCTTTAAATTAGAGCAGTTTCCCTCCCTCCCCTTTTTTTTTGTTTATTTTGTAGAAGTGACTCAGTTTATATATGCATATGTTTACTGAAGAAAAAAATCCGCACATTTTAAAGGAACCAAACACTGTATTTTGAGGTCCTGGAACCTGGTCTTATCTCGAGATGCTGCAAATGGTTACAGAGACACGGTATTTCTAAATCCACATAAACCCACAGGGCAACGCGCAGCTTGGTACTTGTCATGACTGCCCCAGCACAATTCAGCAAACCACAATCTTGGTCCCCGTCTACGCAGCCTCTACAGCAGGGGGCAGGATTACTTCCTTCTGGGAGCCCCTTCCAATGCTAAAACCGAGTGAATGGATATCAAGTTAAAAACAAAGATAACCAAATGAAAAAAGTTTCCTCTAAATCCAGAGATAAATGAGAGAAATTGCCAGAGAATGTGGTGCTGAGGAAACACGACTGAATGAAACCCAGACCGGAGAGATTCTGGTTGAACAGGCAATCAGACTTGGCTGAAGCGCGGGGCAGGGGACTCAGAGTCGGTAGATGGAAACGGAGAGACGGAGGATGAAGAGTCGGATAAACAGCGGTGAGCTGCTAGAGAGGGGTCGAAACCCATTCGGCTACTCCACCCGGGGACAGAAACCACGGCTCCGGGGAAAGACCCCAAGGCCCAGAGGAGAATCGAGCAGGGGACGGGAGCACGTCTCGGGGAGCAACGCCTGACGTTTGAGAGACAGTACTAGAAGCCCGTTTTTCTGGGGGCCGGAACAACCCGGAAAAAAGGGCACTGGGCGCAAAGTCGCAAAACCAGCCACAGACCCCACCTAACCGCGCCCAGGGCAAAATCCAGGGCGCGCCCAGAGCAGGTGACTCAGTGGGAACGACTTGCCACCCGCCAGTCCGTGCCTCCGCCACAGGAAGTAGTCCCTCGACCGCGCCCGCTCCAAACCGAGCCGAGGGAGACAGCCCCGAAGTCCTCAGTGCGTGGGTCCGGGCAGCGGCGGGAGCGCAGCCAATGGCTGGGAAGGAGAGCGTGGCTAGCTCAGCCCCCGTGGATCCCTCCGCCCGGGCGCTCGGGGTGCTGAGGCCGAGGGAGACGCCATTTTGGATGCTGATCCGTGGTTTCGAAGTCGGGCTCTCTTGTTTTCACGCCTGGATTCGGTCAGGTGAGTGTGGCATCCTCAGCGTCAAGGGTTTGCTTCATCTTCGCTTTACGCTCGGGATTTAGCAGTCCCCAGCCAGCGCTCGGGGGTAGGGTTCAGACGACCGCGGAGGTGGCAGCTGAGGAGAAAGGGAAGGATCTTGGTAGTGGGGCTCAGGCCAGAGGTCAGGCCCGAGGGGCCGCGGGGCGGGAGGCGGCCCCGGCTCGGGGGATAAGGGCGTGCGTGGCTGGGCCGAGAGCTGGTTGAATGCCGCTGGTCCTGGGTACTCGAAGCCGCCAAACTTTCCTGTTCTCCCTGCTCTGAGGCGTCTCTTCCCTGGGGCAGAAACGTCGCGGCCTCGGTCTGGGCTCGGTCTGGGCTCTGTGGCTACACCCTCCCCGGTCTCCTCTGCCCCGGGAGACTTCGGGAAGGTAGGTGACTGCAGTGCCGGAGGTCGCCTCTGAGTGCCAGCAGTCTCCGCCGAGCGGGGTGGCCTCCTGGGCTTGTCTCTGGGGCGCCCAGACTCGGGCCCTCTTTGGCTGGAGGAAATTACCGTTTCTTTCGCTGAAGCAAGCGTTGGCTTCTGCTTCCTTTCTGAGACCCCCTGCGTGTGCGATGAGAGACCTTGTGAGGAGCCTGCAGCCCTATCTTTGTCCCTCTCCTCTTTGTAGTCTCAGCGCTCCTCTTCCGGGGTGCTGGAGGTGAGGTGAGCACTTGGAATTCACCGGTATAAACATTGTTTTATCAAGATTATTTTACTTTATTTTTGAGACGGAGTCTCACTCTGTGAGTGCCGTGGCGGCAGCCTAGTTCACAGCAACCTCCAACTCCTGGGCTCAAGCGATCCTCCTGCCTCAGCCTCCTGAGTGGCTGGGACGACAGGTATGTGCCACCATGCCCGGCTAATTTTTTCTATATAAGTTGGCCAATTAATTTCTTTCTATTTATAGTAGAGATGGGGGTCTCGCTCTTGCTCAGGCTGGTTTCGAACTCCTGACCTCGAGCAATCCGCCCGCCTCGGCCTCCCAGTGTGCTAGGATTACAGGCGTGAGCTACCGCACCCGGTCCACTAGTATAAACTTTAACAAGGATCCGGACCTGACAGTGTCTGTTCATAATTAGGTAATGACACTGTAGGATAATCACAAAAGACAGCCACCTGCGCTGTGCGCCGTAGTAGACTGAAAGTCTGGTCTTACACAGCTCTTTTGGGGAGTTGTAGTTTTTAAAATGGTGACGTATTTTAACTTTTTGGCCGTGCGTGGTGGCTCATGCCTGTAGTCCTAGCACTTTGGGAGGAGGCGGGCGGATTGCTCGAGGTCAGGAGTTTGAAACCAGTCTGAGCGAGCCCCCGTCTCTACTAAAAATAGGAAGAAATTAATTGACCATCTAAAAATATATATACAAAAAATGAGTGATGGCGCATGCCTGTAGTCCCAACTACTGGAGAGGCTGAGGCAGTAGGATCCCTTGATCCCAGGAGATTGAGGTTGTTGTGAGCTAGGCTGATGCCACGGCAGGCTCTCTAGCCTGGACAACAAAGTGAGACTCAAAAAAAGAAAAAGGCGATGTATTTTAACTTTTTATTATGGAAAATTTCAGACAGACAAAAGTAAAGAATGTAATGAATTCCTTCTTCATCCACAAACCAGTAGTTCTTTGGAAACTTTGTTTTTACAGCTTCTTCAGAACCACCCGTTTTGGCATAGAAGACAAAAGTGTTTTGAAATGTTTGTATTACAGTTTTAAACCATCCAGTTTCTTAAGTCTTATTTTTCACGTATTGACTGCCACACTAGAAAAAAAATTTTTTTTCACCAGAGCCATGGTGTTTTATTAAAACAGAAGGATCCTTTCTAATTTGTTATATTTTATTATTTTCTGTGGGTGAGTTATATGCAACACAATCCACGTTTTTAAAGTTAAATTGTCAGTGTTAATTGTAACAGGAAGAACATCAACAAGATTTTCACTAACCAACTACAGGGTTTTGCTTCAGGTGGCCCAGGGCTCAAAACTAGTCTGAGTTAAATACAACTCACTTGGCAGTCAATGTGTTGAAATAGTGGTATTATTTTGTCCAAATAATTTTTGGTTCTCCTTTTCTTTCTTCCTGTGCCTGTTTCTTTCTGGCTTCTAAATGATCATGAGCTCCAGAATTCCCAACTCCAGTCTACTTAATTTAAGCTCTTATATTTTAAACTAATCAGAATCAAGTCCCAATTAAATCTAGCCTATTGTGATTTTAAAATACAGCTGAAAGAAAGTGTAGTCTGAAGAAATAATTTCAAATACAGGAAAAGTAATGTGCACATGAATACTTCAGCATTATTTATATGATATAAATGTTGGGGAAAGAAGAAAATTATTACCCAGTGGAATATTAGGCAGCTGTATTTTAAGGTTGTTAGACTGTAATGTGATAGGATGGTAGGCGATAGAAGGATTCTATAGTGTTTGTAGTCCATTGGTATAGCTTTATAACAATATACCTTGAGAAAAACTCTTCATAAAAGTATACTGTAATGTTTTTGTGTTAACTTTATTGAGAAACAAATTAAGGTTAAGGTATTATATTTTCATGTTTATAGCTTCTGGAAAACTTCAGATTCTCTGAATCTGAAGCCTGTACTTTCTTGTGAATTATACATGATGCTGCTGGTTCTTAGAGTCTTTTTATTAAGTTTTCAGTCTTGATTAGTTTGTTCGGTGAAGATTTGATTATGTTTATAGTGTGAAAATATAGTAAACTTTGTGGCAGCCTGTATAGGAAATGATTTTAAGGGGATTGGATTATATTATGTTGGAAATGCCTTCTAGCTCCACATTATGTTTCTACTTTTATATCACATCTTCATAATTGCAATACAGTGGTCATACCTAAGTCTGTAGAAATCACTTATTTTATAAGAAAAAGTGTTCAGAATAAATAAAACAATACATTTCAAACACTAAAGTTTTTGTATATATTGCAAAGTATCTCTGTAGCCACTATTCTTTTTTTTTTTTTTTGAGTCAGAGTCTCACTTTGTTGGCAGGGCTAGAATGCCATGGCCTCAACCTAGCTCATAACAGCCTCAATTTCCTGGGTTCAGGCTATCCTCCTGCCTCAGTCTGCTGAGTAGCTAGGACTACAGGCATGTGCCACCACGCCTGACTAATTTTTTCTATATATTTTTAGTTGGCCAATTAATTTCTTTCTTTTAATATTTTTCTTTTTGGCCTATCTCTGAACTTGTCCATAATTAATTTCTTTCTATGTTTAATAGAGACGGGGTCTTGCTCTTGCTCAGGCTGGTTTTGAACTCCTGACCTTGAGGGATCTGCCCGCCTCAGCCTCCCAGAGTGCTAGGATTACAGGCGTGAGCCACCATGTCTGGCCTGTAGCCACTATTGACTCTGCTTTGTCCTTTCTCCACCGTAGTACTTTCGGAGGCACAGACTAAAAGTTGTCCCTTATGATGTTTTCTGGTTCTTCTTATTTATTTATTTTTGCCTGTTTTAGCTACTTTGACTAAAGCATTGAGGATCACTACCTCTGGGCAGCTTCACTAGTTTGGGCAGCAGTTCTCTGACTGACTTCCCCTAAATAACCTGAGAAGGAAGGACTGCATCTATGGTTTTACACTTTCCTTTATTCATGATGGAGAGATTATCTAGTTCCAGAAGGCTCAGGGAGCTGAGTGATAAACAAGGACTAGATGGGATTGTTATGTCAGCATTAAGGATTGGAGTAAAGTGAAGAATTGGAAAGAACCAAGACGTAAGGCTGCCAACCTCTGTGTGACAGTAATAAAAATAATGGTGTTACACTAATAAAAATAGTGTAATTTAGTATGTAAACAGAATATTGAGAATTAGTAATGCAGTCACTAGTTTATAATCCTCTAACAGGGGTGACATAAAAACAACTATAAGACAGGGTATGAGACAATTTATAGTTGTTTTTATGTCACCCAAGTTAGATTGTGAGCTCCTTGAAGGCTAGAGTCAGCTATCATTTAAACATCTCTTGTCTATAGCTGGTTAGCACAGTGGTAGAATAGCACTCAAGTGTTTGTTGCGTGAATGAATGATAGTAAAGATGTTGAGGTATGGAGTGATTTTAGCATAACCTCTGAATGACAGAAAGAATTTTTTTTTTTTTTTGGCCCCCATTAAGCTTTGACAGAAAGAATTTTAAATTAGGTATTGGATAATATTAGTATGTGGTATATATAAAAAATGTATTCACATACACATAAATTTGTTTATATATGTTTATGTATATATTTGTACATACACAAACTGTAACTGTTGACCAGAACATTTTAACATGTCTGATAGTGATAATTTTCTTTCTTTGTCGGATTGTTATATAGGTTTATTAATTTTTAAAACCTTTTTGAAAAACCAGTATTTGGTTTCCTTGATTTTCTCTATTTTTTAGTTTCATTGATTTTTGTCTTTTTTCCCTCTACTTGTTTTGGGTTAATTTTACTCTCTTTCTGGTTTCTTAAAGATAGAAGCTTAGATTACTAATTTGAGACTTTTCTTCTTTTGCTAATAAAAGCTTTAGTGTTGGCCAGGCGCTGCAGCTCACGCCTGTAATCCTAGTGCTCTGGGAAGCCGGAGGCGGGCAGATCGCTCAAGGTCAGGAGTTCGAGACCAGTTTGAGCAAGAGCGAGATACTGTCTCTACTACAAATAGAAAGAAATTAGCTGGACAACTAAAAATATATATAAAAAATCATTCGAGCATGGTGGCTCGTGCCTGTAGTCCCAGCTACTTGGGAGGCTGAGGCAGTGGGATTGCTTGAGCCCACAAGTTTGAGGTTGCTGTGAGCTAAGCTGACGCCATGGTACTCTAGCCTGGGCAACAAAGTGAGACTGTCTCAAAAAAGAAAAGCTTTAGTGTTCTAAATTTCTAAGTACTGCCTTAGCTACAAATTGTTGTAATTTTCATTTTCTTTCAGTTCAATCCTTTTTAAAAAAAGATTCTCTTTGACCTATGGATTATTTATAAGTGTATTTTTTAATTTCCAAGTGTTTGGAGATTTTTTTTTTTCCTACTCCTTTTTTTTTTTTTTTTTTTTTTTTGAGACAGAGTCTTGCTTTGTTGCCAGGCTAGAGTGATGTACCGTGGGTCAGCCTAGCTCACAGCAACCTCAAACTCCTGGGCTCAAGCGATCCTTCTGTCTCAGCCTCCAAGTAGCTGGGACTACAGGCATGGCCACCATGCCCGCTAATTTTTCTATATATATTAGTTGGCCAATTAGTTTCTTTCTATTTATAGTAGAGACGGGTCTCGCTCTTGCTCAGGCTGTTCGAACTCCGACCTCGAGCGATCCGCCCGCCTCGGCCTCCAGAGAGCTAGGATTACAGGCGTGAGCCACCGCCCGGCCATTTTTTTTTAGACAGGTCTCTTGCCTCTGCTCCCGCGCTAGCTCGCC